TAAATTCCAAGAATTGTTTGATGTTAATATAGTTGTCGTTAGTATGGAACATCAAAATCGTTTCGTTAGAAAAGGTACGAATCCTGACATGGCAACCATTTACTTATACATAACATTGTATCACTTCAATATCGGGATTTTTCAGCACATCATATTTTTGTCAGACCTGCAAAGTTCCATACAGCCATAGAGACAAACATGTCTGTAAAAATCACTGTACGGTATGCAGCCTTCAGAATTATGCAGAAGCTGTGAAACTTGGATGCAATGTTTGTAAGTTAATTTTTAGGAATGATATTTGTCTTCGTACGCACCAATCAAATGGAATGTGTGCTCAAAACCACCGCTATCAACTCTATGTTTTAAGGTTTATAAAACATCTACGCGTCATTATTATAACAAATATTTTAGCAAACCCTGTGAACAATACGTTACCACAGATCATTTATGCTATCTGAAAAGTGAAACGGCTAAATCCTCCCTCACCAATTTCGTGTTTTACGATTTCGAAACCAATCTAAACTAAATACACCAGTGTCAAAAAGGATATTTTTCTTCCATTTTTCTTCCGGACCTTGTAAACATTGCACCGTACAAACTCTGTGAAGTGCGTGTCGGGAATGTAGTAATTGTATAAATCCTGCATGTGGAAGACAAATACATCAAGGGATTTAAGCCATAGCTCACACTTTGTGCTCTGAATGTCAGATCTGTGGAAATGCCACTCATAGTGATCATAACACTTTTAAATTTCGTAATATCGATATTTTTGTCATTGGCTTATGAGTCCTAAATATGTTCTTTATTAACTTTAAGCTTTCCAGCTCATCAGTGTACATGTAACAATATGCAGGGTTTACATGTATTGCCCACAAACCTAAGGCATTCGATGGATGTTTGATTCTCGAACAGATGTCAAAAAAAAGGGGTGCCACCTCAAAATATCATGAACGGTTCCAAGATTATGTACATGGAACTTGGTAAAGGGGTACATTCGTTTTTTTAGATTCGTTGAATTTCTTACCCATACCGCTGGCCAAATAACCCAAAGCTTTTTAATTGCAAGAACTGAAAAAAGGATAGTTTCCCCATTATACGTTGTCCTGGCAACATGCCGCAGGAAGGTCGTTGGGAATTTCTTAAATGGTATGAGACTAAGAAAGAAACCATTTCTGATTTTCATGAAGAGTTGTATTCCTATGCCAGTTCAGACGTTGATATTTTGAAGAAAGCCTGTATAAAGTACTGACAGTTAATGCTCGATACTGCAGGTATCGACCCCTTTAAGTATTAGACATCGGCATCCGTGGCCATGGCCACATTTAAACAGAACTTTATGAACAAATACTGGACCCTCCTATACGCTTCGGTAGCATATAGAAGAAGAAATAAACTAAATTCCCCAAAATCGTAATGGGATGCGCCATTTTCTATAAAACTATTTTCAAAATAATTTATAAACAAAGAAAAAAGTAACGGGGACAAAAATTCCCCTTGCATCATTCCAACATTATTAGAAAAAAGTTCGAATATTTGCCATTAACTAAAACACAAGATTTAACTAATGAGTATAAAGACTTAATTGTAGACAAAAATTTACCTCGAACACCCAGCTTTGTTAACTTGCTCCACAGGCTTACTCTATCTACGAAATCAAGAGCCTTGCGGAAATCTACAAAACAACAATACAGTATAACCCCTTTTTTCATATAAAGTTTTCGAAATTATAGTTTGCAAGGCGAAAATAGCATCCACAGTGCTTCCCCCTGGACGGAATCCAAATTGTGCGTCCGTTAAAATATCATATATAGTACAAACGTCAATCAGACATTTGTTAAGTATGGATGTAAATAATTTGCACAGACAACTAATTAGACTGATACCTCGAACATTACTAGGATCTGTAAATGCGCCCTTTTTATGCACATGTACAATGATTGCTGTGGACCAGTCAACTGGAAAACATCCAGATAGTAAACTATTGTTATTAAATAATACATGTAAACTGTTTACATTCAATAAAACATTCATTCAACGGAACATCTGGACCATGCGATTTATTTCGTTCCAGATTATTGATCGCCGTTGTAATGTCTCTAAACGAAATAGGAGTATCTAACTCATCAAAAATTACGTTATCATCATTATCATTATCATTATTTATGATTTCGTTATGTCCAAACTCAACTCCAAAATTCGTTATATTTTTGGCTAGTTCAGATGCATGTATCGGGGTCTGTATCTGCCGCTGATTCAGATTTAGATTAGTTAAGTCCTTGTGTTTTACAACACATCGGAGAAGACATTACATAAATAGAGGTTATACAACGAGTGGTTGTTGAATATGGTATTTATTTCACTCTCGTTAATTAATTTTCAAAAGTTACAAAAGACACGAGCTTTAGCGAGTGTCTTTCTGTAACTTTTGAAAATTAACTAACGTGAGTGAAATAAATACCATACTTAAAGCTCGTGTCTTTTGTAACTTTTGAAAATTAATTAACGAGAGTGAAATAAGTACCATACTCAACAACCGCGAGTCGTGTGATCTGTTTCTACCACAATCTCACTCGGAAACAACATACACACATGTGTTTGTTGACAAGGCTGGCGTAGTGATATGACCCATATGTAAAAAGTCACTCATTAATATTCAAAAATGACTTTATTTTTTAAAATTTAATAATTTTCAAAATTAATGTTTCGACAAAAACGTCATGAAAAAAATATAATAGATGAAAGACTTTGACTATTGAGAGTATGCAGTATTGCATTAGTATAATATACTATTATATAATATAGTGCCCTACACGTTTAGTACTGAAAGCACAGTATATAATACAATTCTGGATGCATTAATATACAATGACTTTCATTATAATCTTTCAGCATTTTCAATGATTAAATAACGACCTATATATATAACATCAATGATCAATGCCATACCATGTATATATTAGAGCACAGCGTATTATATTGATGTACAGTGTAATCTAGCAATGAAATATATAGTTTACAGGTATATGTTGTTTACTCAAGAAATAATAGAAAATTCAATGATATAATGAAAATTATAATAGTAGTTTCATACGAGCATTATGGTGTATAGCGTTATTTCGTTGTTTTGTCGCTAAATAAAGACATTTCCCTAATTTGCTCAATTCGGTAACATTTTATACACTTAATAATTGTATCAGTTTGAACACACTCGGTCATCTATAATAATATGCCTTAATATATGTACTTCGAAGATTATTATAAAAGTTATATTTGAGACTAAATAAAATAAAATTCATCCTCGATATCGTTTGTTAGCTTTAAACAGTATTTTATTCAATATATGGCACTGACAAAATAATACAAAAATCAACAAAGAGGATTCGAAAACAAGTACATAAGTACAATGTACTTATATCAATTCGTCTCCTTATTAATAAACCTGGCAGAAGGACGGCACTGTTACATATATTTTGATAGTATAACAGACAAAGAGAAGAAGAAAAAATCAGGGAGGGCGGAAGGGGTACATCAGTCGGCAAATGAAAGAAGTGGTTACGACGAGAATAAGAAGAAGAACTGCATTACTTGATTGAATCTGGTTGGAATGTGATTCATGAAAAGGTAACCCTAATGAGCTCTATATAAGGATGCATTAAATACATTGGAAGTTTCTAAATTGCCTTACGTTGATTCCAATAAAAAAAATGTTTTAAACTATTTTAACATATATATAAAATAACCATTACACATGTATTTGTGATTTTTACATTAACCTATTTTTTATTTTGTGGTATTGAAAATCGGCGCACCATATTTAAAACGCGTTTACGCAATCATGCTGTCAATTTCTTCCTCAAATTTCTTATACGGGTGCATAGGAAGCCGAGGATATTTAAATACGTGATTGCATATTTCATTAATTTTAGCTATTATCAAACTCATTTTGAACAATTAGAAATAGCTTCCCTTCTATATTTATGGTACTACAAGATAAAAAACGATAGATTAAAACACATATAGAAAACTGATTTAGAGGATAGCAATGAAATATTTCAGTTAACGGTAGGCAGTTATGATATTAACATACACTCACTTTAACTGAAACCGATACTTTAAATATAAAGATAACCTTAAACGATACTGTATAGTAAAACAAAAATATGGATTAACAAATATTTTAAATATATGGTGTTTGACATAATGCACATGTTCTTTGCTTAACACACGTTGTATCTTAATACATAATTGGATTATAATGACAACTTGGGCTCTTGTTTATAATATCAAATAATTAAAGTCTAGGTTACGATATTCATAGAATCTAAACTTGACAGAGAGAACTTTTTTAACATTATAAATCAGTCGATAATTATAAATTATACGATAGGAACATATATATACTGTATAATTAGCCCGATGAGCACATTAAATATATTTGCACACAGATATATTAATATAAGTATTCAAGTACAAAATTAGCTGTACTTAATGTACATGTTATACGTGTCACTACATATATATACATGTAGCCATTTCCTGCAGGTGTTTTGGATCATTATAGACACATGTAGACCTACATGTCTAATGCAAATTTGGTATGTCAATTGATGAGGGGTTCATTATATTTTGAGACACACATTTGGCATATATTTTGTCATCGATCTATTTATTTATTTAGTTTCTGTAATCAGCAAATCAACTGTCATATTATGCATTCTTTATAATTACGTTTTTACTTTTCTGGTAATCGTTATACAAGCATTAACCCATGCGGTCATGCCTGGACATATCGTTTGACCTGGTTACAAAACAGTTAAGTAAGCAAACGGTTTCCAATTTTCATTCACACGAGGGGACGTTTCATAAGCAGTACTTTGAATAGAGAAAAGCACTGCCTGTTGTGGTTACCAAAACAATCAGCCCACCAACAACATAGCTGGGTGTGTGAGACGCTTAACATCAGATGTAATACAAATAAATATTCAAAGCGTCATATCGACCTGGACCGGCACAGGGATCCCTGGTTGCGAAGAGGGTTGTGTAAGTCGGCACATAGGAGAAACTCCTCTGCGTTTTATATATCTTACACAGGATGGGGAAAGGAGGAAAGGCATCCGAAAATGGTTCCGTGCTTCCATCTCCGAAGTACGTCACCATGGACGACGTACGGGAACACAATACGAAGGGAGACAGCTGGTTGATGATTGATGGGAAAGTTTATGACATAAGTCGATGGGGAGGTAAACATCCCGGAGGAGCAAAAATCCTGAACCACTATGCGGGAGAGGATGCTACGGTAAGATCATCAAAGCAACTCACCAGTTCATATGCTGGTCAGTGTTTCATTTCTTGGAAAAGGTGCATTGTAGAATATTGTATGAAAGTTGTGGACAAAACAAAATGTATCTCCAATTTTGTAGTTTGCCGTCCAAGCCCACCATCTCATTCCAATAAAAGATCATAAAACAAATAGCGTCCCTAACCTACTAAGTAGTAAGATCTTTCCAAACTTCATATCAGTGCACAACCAGATGATGATGTTCCCGATTAGAACGCACATCAGTATAAAGAGAGGTTTTACACCGGTTTTGGATCATCCTTCATCTGGGGATGATTTGAGATTTCATATACTCGTAAACAATAAATCTATACTTTAAGTATGATATCGGACTGAAGAAAATGTTAAGAAATGAAGCTAAATATCATGGTTTTAATGGAGCAGATCAGCTTATTTCTGTCAGTACACTGGTTTTGGATCATCCTTCATCTGGGGATGATTTGAGATTTCATATACTTGTAAACAATAAATCTATACTTTAAGTATGATATCGGACTGAAGAAAATGTTAAGAAATGAAGCTAAATATCATGGTTTTAATGGAGCAGATCAGCTTATTTCTGTCAGTACATGGTGTGTTGGTGTGTCATTTTAAACGATTGGGTCACATGCATACTTCTTGAATTTTCAAATTTCAGTGAAAAAGTTCTTTGATCTTTGAAATTGTAAATTTGATTAAATGTCAAGGGTCAACTGAAAGGTCTGTCCTGATATCCTATTGAGCCCTCTCGATCTGGTCACTTTACTTAGCATGTGAACAAGAGCTAATGAATGTCGCTGGTCACCGTCAAAGTAGTTTAAGTGCATTAATTATAAGGTAGGCTAGAGAAAGGAGCTGTTTATTATGGTGTCAGTGAAAATTAAAATAATAACATTGGGTTATAATTCAATTGGTGAAGAAATGTCACGCCACAACATGGTAGTGAAGAAATGGCACAAAAAGCTTTGAACACACACTTCAGTTATGGCCATTTAATACTAAGGGCTGGAACTATACAGGTGACCATATCTTTACTACCAATAATTACTACAACATGACATTACAATTAGGCCAAACAAAACATATTTGGTGTTTCTGGTAACACTACCTACCCTAAACATATATCTGATGTTTCTGCTAACACTAGTCTACCTACCCTAATTTTTTGTGCTGACCCTAAACTTTTTAAGGCAATTTCAAAGAAGCACTGTTAACTCATTCACCCCTGAAGACACATTTGAACCCTTCCAAATCAAAGGATGGAATAGTTCATTATGAAATTTCAGGGGTCAATGAGTTAAAGTCAAGATCACTCTTCTATAATATAATATAAACCACATAAATTAAGTGTAAAAATAAAATTTGTTACATTTAAACCTACCCTAATTTTTTCTAAAATGTTACAGGAAACACATATATTTTTTTGTCTGGCCTTACATATTACAAGTTTATCACTCCTTCCCGCATAAGAAAAAAATGAGTTTGTTGTTTATGATTCTTGTCTGTTTTTCTTTCAGGATGCTTGGAAATCCTTTCACAATGATAAAGAGTTTGTGAAGAAGTTTATGAAAAGTTTATACGTGGGAGACGTCAAGGATAAAGAGGAGGTAAAAAAAAAAGATAATTTTTGATTAATGATTATATAAACATTTATGTGTAGGTGGCATATATCCATAAATGTCCAAAAATATTTTTCCATAGGGCAAGGTAAAGTTAGGGCAAAAGATCATAATTTAGGCCCAAATATACTCCAAAGTTACAAAAAGAAGCCGTGTTTGGAAAGTAGTAATACAGATTACAGGAAGATTATACTTAGTCTATCTGAATAAAGTTGAACTTTTATCAAGGTCTTTGTATGATCATATGATGGATTGACTATCATGGATCATTTCTCATCTAAAATCAATCTGGTATTTATATATTAATAATATTTAATTCATTTGATTAATTAATCAGAATGAGAAAATAAAATTTTAGTTTTGCAGAAAAAATGTGTAACATCTCATTTTATACATATAAATGTCTATGTTTAAAGTTCTATATAATAAACCTACCTGTGTATATCTTTTATTTTGAAATGTTCTTCCATCAAATTGCAGTCTGAACTTCAAGCTGACTTCCGTGAACTGAGAAGACATGTCGAAGATAGTGATCTGTTGAAGACAAAACCTTGGTTTTTCTGCCTACAATTAGGACATATAATCTTGATGGAGGTCGTGGCTTACTGTCTCATGTCTTATATGGGAGCCACTCCCCTTTCCTTTGTTCTTGGGGCAATGATCCTTGCTGTTGCACAGGTAAAATATATCCTATCCCAATAAATGTTGAAAAGAGCCTGATAAGCTTAAATTGTACTTATATCCCCCCCCCCCCCCCAAAGATTGATATTCATAAGAAAGTTGTATACACGTACATGTATAAGGATTCAAAATGGTGTTAATAAAGATCAAACAGTCAAAAACACTTCTAAATTTGGACAAAGGACTTCCTCAAAATTTCATTTTAAAAAGGAGGGGTGCCAATTATGAGGTTTTCTGAAGAGGGGCTACAGTGCATACTCAGTATGTGTAGACTTTTGCTATAACTTAAAACCCATTTATGTGTCATTACATCCAACAATATTAAAGGTTATGGAAAAACTGTTCACAAATATTGAAATATCATGTACATACAAAAAATATCCTGTTTTCACTGCCAAGAACTCTGTTTTTGAAAATGCGGCAATCAGTCTTGTTATGAATATGATGTTGAAATTTAGTGTATTACAATGTTTGTATTTGATTTCAGTCTCAAGCTGGCTGGACACAACATGATTATGGCCACATGTCTGTTTTTCCTAGTCACAAGATTAACCACATCTTCCATCATCTAGTCATCGGCCACATAAAGGTAGGTTATTTCCTCAACAGATTGCAGGTCAAGGTCATCCATCAAGGGGCAATTCACACTACATTGACCATGGGTTAACTCATTCACCCCTACATATCTAAACTGGACTTGCCCAGTCATTGATTTGTCGAGGTTCAAATTTGACTTTAGGGGTGAATGTGTTATTAATAAACTTTATTTGTTTTACAACAACCATGAAACAAGTTGTTCTATCAACTGTTGTTGGCCAGGCTGGCAGCGTACAATAAGCTCAATGTTGGAGGAAACTAGAGATCCATAAAGATTGTCTGCTCTCTTTTAAAACTGACCACTGGTCAAGACGAAGCTAGGTAATTCACTCTACAACTGATTGGTTAATGTCATTCTTCACATAGATATATATAGGTTATTCACAACACTGACCATTTCAAAGGTTTTATGCAATTAAATGTAAATAGTTCAATGTAGAGATTAAAATTCAATCAGATTCCATATAGTTTGATCTTTGGCATTGACATATTTTGACCTCAACATTTGAACAGGGTGCCTCTTCCCATTGGTGGAACTTCCGTCACTTCCAGCACCATGCCAAGCCTAATGTATTGAGTAAGGACCCAGATGTTGATGTACCCTATCTGTTTCTCCTGGGGGACTATGTTCCCAAGTCATGGGCACTGAAGAAGAAAGGATTCATGCCGTACCAACTGCAGCATAGTTACTGGTTTCTAAGTAAGTTGATTAGACTAAGAATGAAATATATGTGTTTCTCCATTTCCTTATTACTAGGGTTGCAACGATATCTCGTGCAATTATATCATGATATTTTGCATACAGTAGGATACACAATATTTTGTTAAGGTTAAGATACACCTACAAAATGTTCCGGATTTTGTTGTTTCTGAATTTAATCTATTCATATCGGTTCCAACATGGGGAATGACAGCTCCAGCGCTGCATGCACGTCAAAAGACATGAATTGTGTGAAACTTTAAAGTCATGCCTATGTCAGACCAAGTATATTTCGAGTTGTAATATTGTCATTAAAAATGTGCAGCATATCTTTTCTTTTTGCTTCTACTGTTACTATGTGTGTATCGTGATATGTATGATATCCTGACCGCATTGTCTTGATTCATATTGTATTGTCATATTAATGTATCTTTGCAGCCCTACTAACTACCGTAGTTATCAGTACATGTACACTTCTTCAAATTCTCTTGAAACACATATCTCCTTTTCCCCCTTGAAAAATGGCATAGCCATATCAAATCACATTAAATCTGTGAAAGTGATAAGTTTGGCAAATGACGATAAAATATGATATTAATTTAATGTTAATGAAAATAACATGACATAATTTAAACAAAATTATATGACACAAAGAGAGGGGAAAAAAATAGAAAAAAAAATGACATTTACCCTTTCACCACTGTAGACTATAATGGACTCATTCAGATAAATATATGGTAAAGTCTACTAAAGCTACCTAGGGGTGGAAGGGTTATGTAACATGATATTCATACGATTCTGCTGTAACAGATTCTGTTTATTTTAACTTCAGTCGGACCTCCACTGCTTCTTCCCATCTATTTCCACATTGAGAATGTTATGTTCGTCCTCAAGCGTAAAGATTGGGTGGTGAGTGATTTCTTTGACATACAGTGGGACATCTATTTTATTTTTGTTTGTCCAGGTCTGTCCATTACTTTGTCTGTTGTATATATGTATACATGTATATATTATAAAGCAGAAAAATTATCCTTACAGACGAAGAAATATTATAAAAAGAAAAAATTCTCATCAACGAGTCTTTAGTACTTTCATCTCTTCTAGGAGATTCTTCAGACTGTTTATTTGAAGTATATGTTGTGACGTCATAAACTACACGTATGATGTCACATAATAGTTCGCTATAGCGACGTCCGCCATATACGTACCCGCCATAACGATATCACAGCAATATAAATACATTAATTATAGTCTTAAGGCAAAGAGTACTATTTGTTTAGGATTTAGATATACTAGTCATATTTTTTAGTCTATTTATTGGTCTATTATTTACAACAAAAAAATAAAATAATAAAAATATATATAAAAATAAAAACACTCCCTGTGTGGGGCGAACTCAGGACCATTGCATAACTGATCTGACACACTACCGATGTCACTACTTTACACACACTATATACATTTTTAGAGCTTAAAATGAAGAAAATGGCCATGTAATTGTAATAAGCAACAGGAGCGCTTCATAGTGAAAAAATCTCCTAAGGTTGTGGGACATAACCTAAGTTTATGATGTCAGCTTGAAGCTTCTATGATATATATATCTGAATCAAGGACAAGCTCTCCAATTGCTCAAAGGCTATAGCTAACAAGTGGTTAGAACATAGAATAAAAAATATGAACAGTTATTGAACACAACACAGTTCAGAACCTCTGATATACTATCATTTCACTGACATGGTTTTGTTTTTCGACATATCCGATTGATGTGTTTTGAAGATTTGTTTGCTTTGAAACCTCTTGCTTCTTAACTCAATCACCCCCTGATGACATTTGAACTCTTCCAATTCTAAGGTTGGAATAGTTCATTAAGAAATTTCAGGGGTAAATGAGGTAATTGGTAACAATTTGAATTTCTCACTAACTACTGGTTACTGGTTAAAGTTAACCAACCTTTGAGCAACTGGGGCGTGATTGCTTTTCTTTAGTTATTATATTCCGAAGTTTTGTGTTCTGGATTTTCATGAGTTTTATTTTTCATGATAAACACCATTGCAATACAGCAATGTATATGTATTATCCCTATCAATACAACATGGCGAGCTGGTGTAGTGACTTGGAATTAAGTTAACTTGTGAATGTTGCAGGACCTCGGTGTGACACTGACATTCTTCGTGCGCTGGTTCTATTTTTACGGCCCGTTATTCGGGGGATGGGAGGCATTTGGCCTGTATATGTTTGTGAGGTAAGTGATATAAAGTATTAACAGCTAAAAGGAGGGTCTTATGGTGAATAAATAATTACAATAAAATCAACATTTAAAAGATATCAATAAGTTTTATGTGAAATTTTTTTTTCATTGAAAAACATTTTTTTTATTTTAATGAAAATATGGGAAGATTTTTTTTATTTTTTAAATGATGATAAATGATGCTGTAATCATGAATTCAGCATAATGTATAACACAAGCCATTAAGTAATACAGTTATAAACATTCTGGTTGTTACAGTTTGCCTATATTGACCTATGAAAATATATAAATACAACTAGTTTAGCTTATATTTCACCACTGTGTGTCAAAATTCGACGGACATATTATGGAATAACGTTTGCGTCCGTCTGTCTGTCCGCTCGTTTAAAGTTTAGGTGCAGGTTTCTTCAGTAGTCTATGGTTAGTCAGATCATGTGTTATTGTCCTAATTTTTAGCATGGATGTTCATGTGGGGTCTAACAAGGACAATAAATCCATATTTTTGTTAATTTTGGACGTGTTTGGGACTTAACAAACGAAAAATCATTGGATAGGGTCAGACGGGCGTATTATGCTTATCAGTTATTCCACCATCATTATTTAATAATGATGACAGTCCAGGTGTAATATTATATGGGGCCTATCAGAGGGCACTTTTTATATATATACTTATCTTGCATTTGAAAGAACATCTGCACATACAGTCAAAGTTATTGGTAAGATAAGGTACAGTATTTATTCACAGCCTCATCATTTTATTTGTATTATCACAGGTTCCTAGAAAGTCATTGGTTTACATGGGTCACCCAGATGAGCCACATTCCAATGAAGATTGCCCGTGATGACAAACAGGACTGGTTCTCTCTGCAGCTTGCCACGACATGTAATGTGGAGCCTGGATATTTCAACGACTGGTTCACTGGTCACCTTAACTACCAAGTAGAACACCAGTAAGTTATACCTCCCTCATCGGTCTGTCTATCCAGGGTCCGACACATACACTAGTCTTTAAGTCAACGAATGGTTCACTGGTCACCTTAACTACCAAGTAGAACACCAGTAAGTTATACCTCCCTCATCGGTCTGTCTATCCAGGGTCCGACACATACACTAGTCTTTAAGTCAACGAATGGTTCACTGGTCACCTTAACTACCAAGTAGAACACCAGTAAGTTATACCTCCCTCATCGGTCTGTCTATCCAGGGTCCGACACATACACTAGTCTTTAAGTCAACGAATGGTTCACTGGTCACCTTAACTACCAAGTAGAACACCAGTAAGTTATACCTCCCTCATCGGTCTGTCTATCCAGGGTCCGACACATACACTAGTCTTTAAGTCAACGAATGGTTCACTGGTCACCTTAACTACCAAGTAGAACACCAGTAAGTTATACCTCCCTCATCGGTCTGTCTATCCAGGGTCCGACACATACACTAGTCTTTAAGTCAACGAATGGTTCACTGGTCACCTTAACTACCAAGTAGAACACCAGTAAGTTATACCTCCCTCATCGGTCTGTCTATCCAGGGTCCGACACATACACTAGTCTTTAAGTCAACGAATGGTTCACTGGTCACCTTAACTACCAAGTAGAACACCAGTAAGTTATACCTCCCTCATCGGTCTGTCTATCCAGGGTCCGACACATACACTAGTCTTTAAGTCAACGAATGGTTCACTGGTCACCTTAACTACCAAGTAGAACACCAGTAAGTTATACCTCCCTCAGTCTGTCTGTCTATCCAGGGTCTGACACATACACTAGTCCTCTAGTCAACGACTGGTTCACTGGTCACCTTAACTACCAAGTAGAACACCAGTAAGTTATACCTCCCTCAGTCTGTCTGTCTATCCAGGGTCTGACACATACACTAGTCCTCTAGTCAACGACTGGTTCACTGGTCACCTTAACTACCAAGTAGAACACCAGTAAGTTATACCTCCCTAAGTCTGTCTGTCTATCAAGGGTCTGACACATAAACTAGTCCTTTATTCCACGACTGGTTCACTGGTCACCTTAACTACCAAGTAGAACACCAGAAAGTTATACCTCCCTAAGTCTGTCTGTCTATCCAGGGTCAGACACATACACTAGTCCTCTAGTCAACGACTGGTTCACTGGTCACCTTAACTACCAAGTAGAACACCAGAAAGTTATACCTCCCTAAGTCTGTCTGTCTATCCAGGGTCAGACACATACACTAGTCCTTTAGTCCACGACTGGTTCACTGGTCACCTTAACTACCAAGTAGAACACCAGTAAGTTATACCTCCCCCAGTCTGTCTGTCTTTCCAGGGTCTGACACATACACAAGTCCTCTAGTCAACGACTGGTTCACTGGTCACCTTAATTACCAAGAAGAACACCAGTAAGTTAAACCTCCCCTAGTCTGTCTGTCTATCCAGGGTACGACACATACACAAGTCTTTAGTCAACGACTGGTTCACTGGTCACCTTAACTACCAAGTAGAACACCAGTAAGTTATACCTCCCTAAGTCTGTCTGTCTATCCAGGGTCCGACACCTACACAAGTCCTCTAGTCAACGACTGGTTCACTGGTCACCTTAACTTCCAAGTAGAACACCAGTAAGTTATACCTCCCTCATCAGTCTGTCTATCCAGGGTCTGACACATATTCTAGTCCTTTTGTCAACGACTGGTTCACTGGTCACCTTAACTACCAAGTAGAACATCAGTAAGTTATACCTCCCCCAGTCAGTCTGTCTATCCAGGGTCCGACACATGCACTTGTCCTCTGGTCACAGACTAGTAAACTTTAGCAAGGACTAATGAATTAACTAATCGAACTGGTCCTGTGGATTTGTAAAAAATATATTATCACAATATCACCTGAAAGATAGATTATGAAATATGAATATCACTTTTGGAAAACTGCTAAAAATAAAGATCTATGTATTTGCAGGGCAGTTATAAAAAAAATCCAAAAACTTTACCATGTCTTTATATTATGGCAGTAGTGATTTTATGTCTCTTACAATCACTTTCTTATGTTTAGTGCTTGAGATGTTTCCTTAAGGAAATCTTGGACCGGTTACATTGACGAAGGACTAGTAAATAATCTACTCAACTAGTCCTGTGGACTACTATACAAAATTAGTTAGTGTTTAACACTACTGTCATGTTTTGAAAATCAGGTGCCATGTTTTATTCGCAAAAAAACCCATGTCTTCTATTCCCGATGCATTCAAAAAACCGATAACACAGAGAAGGGAGGTAATATTCTGGTTTTCTTTTTTACAATTACATGTAGATGAGTACAGAACAAACAGTAAGGTTGGAATTAATTCATTTTTTCAGTCTTTTTCCCACCATGCCAAGACACAACCTACACAAGATTGTTCCACAGGTGCGGGCGATCTGTAAGAAACACAACATACCATACCGATGTAAAAGTCTGTACGGGGCGTTTGCTGACATTGTACAGTAAGTGTTTAAAAAAATAATAAAAAATTAAAAATGAAGAATTTGCCAAAAAAATGAAAATAATTGAAAAGTGTTATTTTGAAACAGTTAAGCTGACATAAGATTTTTCAAATTCAGAAAAAGAAAAAAAATTAGAAAGAGAATATTTCAGCTTATACTAAAAAGAGATTGGAGGCCGAATGCCTTTCTTCATAAAACCAGTTGAAAATAAAATTCTGTGTCCAAGTCCTAGTTCAAGTTAGAAATCACTGTATTCAAAGTCTTTCAACTGTACTTCCTTTTCCTTATGGAGATTCCTGTCTCTCACAATTCTGGTGTTCAAAGTGTACTTTTTAAATCCTCAAAACATTTCTGGAAGAAAACAACAGTTTTATGAATATATGCGGTCTGGACTGGACACCCTCATTTAATCGGGATTATTTGCAAGTCAAGTGGTCATATATTTCAGTATCACTTACCTTTTTTCTTTGTCTTGTTTTCCAGCTCCCTGAAGAAGTCCGGTGATATATGGTACGAAGCCCGATATGAAGGATAGACTGTTTTTATTCTTCTTGCTGTGATGAAAAAATTCTCTGTTGCCTTACAATCAGTCAAACATGTGATTTTCTATTTATTCATTGAATTTGACTTTTTGCCATTAAGGAGGATATTGCTATATCTATTTTCATATTTGCAACAGAAATACTTTCCATGATGCATAAAACAGAGCTGAAAGGTACATTTTACATGATTATATTGTGAAATCGAGTAACTATTGGTTCTCATTAGAAACTTTTTTGACACAAAAAGCCCCCCCAAAAAAAATTTGAAGATAAGTCAGTTTAACCAATTAAATTCTGGATAATGCAGTGTTAGCATACCTGTTCTTTCTGGAAACCTCTCTCAACTGTAAAAGGATACTGGTAAATGTATTTAATTATCTTCTAATTTGATAACTCTGTGATGTTGTTAGAAATGTGTAAAATAAGAAAAATATCTACAGTTATGCCCCTTTTACCAAGGATACTATATATTTGATCACTTTTGTTGATCAATTAAATTGTCATTATAAGCATGCCTTAGCATTTGATATTGTTAATAGACGAAATGCAAGAAAGCAAGATGTAATGAATGTCTTTCATCCAAAGGCATTTTTTAAAGTTTGACATTTTTTATTGAGTATCATGTTAGGTCACATGTTATGATTTTTATGATTCAATTTGAGCTGGAAAAGTTTTGTTATTTGATGTGTCATTTTTTCAGAAAAAATAATTTCAAATAATATGACAATTTATGCGTATGTTTGTGAGTGTTTTTTTTTTTCAAATTATTAATAGAAATGTTTGACTTGGCTGTTAAAGTCCAAATATGAACTGTGATGAGAAAATTAGGTTTATCAGAATATCACGACAAAATTGTTATACAGGCATACATGTACCGTATTTACAATATTATTATTTAATATTGTTGCATAAATGTGTAAAATAATCCTCATACAAGTCTTTTCCTCCTGCTGGAAGATCTTTTCTAGTCTCATCAAGTGTACTACAGTATAATCATTACATTTCTCTCTTTTTGTATACCTATACATTTTGTATATATATTATCACATGACATTATACTCCCGGTATTTGTTTGTAAAGTAGTTGCATGCATAATTACTTAAAGCATTAATAAGTGTCTTGAAATACTTACAAATTATATTCTTCTGGAACTTAATTCAAATTTTTTGTCCGATATTAATTTCTGAAGCAACTTAAGGGTATATGCTACCTTACCAATACTACCAAATGATTTGTGTAAGTTATCTCCCTTGATATATTTTTACTACCTGGTTATCTCCCTTGATCTATTTTTACTACCTGGTTATCTCCCTTGATATATTTTGACTACCTGGTAATATTGTGAAATAAATGAATGAAAACAAGCTGTACATTCTTGTGTAGTTTGAATGTTATACCATCATGAATTGATAATGATATATTTTTTTTTTTTTTTTTTCGGTATGGACTCTTTTTGGAAAGAAAATGCATATTAAAACAAGCATTTTCGTTGCTAAATGATTAACCAAAGTTACTTGCCTATGCATGTACTCAATAGGAATGTTTGTTTATGTAATTATATATATATAATTTATTATTTATTAAAAGTGGCATGACTAAGTAGGCTTTTTTGTGTAATATCAAATATTGTGATATTATTGTATACAATATCTGTAAATTAGATTAAAATTCTGGTCATAGAAGATACTCTTTTGTTTCTATATATTGAACAACTTAATGTTACATTATTGTGTTGTATATAAAGTAATCTATCAACGTAGTGTTATTTGCCGCATTATATCACATCATCTGACTTTTGATTAGTGAAATAATATCAATTCAGTATGTTACACCTGAAATAACATAGTGACACCACACTAAGCTGTAAAATGATATCATGAATTAATACTGAATTGCAAAAAATGGCATAATTTTTCTGGGTTTTTTTTTCGCTACCTATTATTTGTAGCCAAATATGTTGTTTTACATAGATTTGTAAATTATTTGATAAAAAAAACACTAAAAATTGTTGCCCTTCAGTTTGAGTTTTTTTTTACAAGCTGAGCTTGCTCATAAAAGTCCCATATCCTGGAAACTGGTTTGATACGTCCTCTGTACGTATATATGACAAGAATTCCAAGGTCGTATCATGTTTGACAGGAGCTACATTGTATATGATAATATGTAAGCCAGACATTTTTCACTTGTTAAGATGTTTATCTTCAATAATACTTTTAATACAATAACTGTATAGCGTTATACAAAGAATGTACATACCAGTATATTTTGATATAAAAGATTTTTTTTATCTATTTTTCTCCAAACAGCTGTCCTTTTTGTGAATCTTACTATTTTGTAACTATTTTCTTATAGTCAAGATCTTCTCATGAAGATCATATGTGCTTCATGTATATACAAGAAATATTTTTCATCTGAATGAAACTTATTGTTATATCTACTTTAGAAAAAAAAAGATAAAAAGATGTGGAGATTACCAGCATTTTATGCCTAAGTGCATAAATTCAATTAAACGCCTCAGTACATAAATTCAATTAAACGCCTTGGTGCATAAATTCAATTAAACCTCAATAATGCTAACTTTGGAATATTAAAAATCTCCAATTTTTTCCTTTTCATGTGATATAGAATATTGTGTTGTAACACAATATATAATTCTGTATTGTATTGTATGTTTACTTCTGATGACTTATATGAATTGAAACTCTAATAAGTATGGAATATTTTGGCACCATCTGATAAAATGGTAACATGATTTGGTTGTATTTTTAACTCTTTTACCCCTGAAGACACATTTGAACTCTTCCAATTCAAAGGTTGGAATAGTTCATTATGAAATTTAAGGGGTGGATAAGTTAAAAAGAAATAATTCTCTTTATTTTATACTTATGTTTTAGTTTAAAGATTAAACTGTAACTGACCTGATCCTCAAATTTTGAGATATTTTTTCATATACAAATTTTTTATACTGATTTAGGATTTTTGGAGAAAATGATGCCTTGGTGTAATTTAGATTTCTATCTCTGAAATTTCGCATTTATGCACTAATTTGTTTTTGAGGTATAGAAAACAAACACATAATTATTATGATGCTGATGTTAAGGAGAATTAATTTGGACTGTTACTACAAATGATAATGTTTCTTGGTTTATTTTATGATTTAAACAATCAAGAAATATTTTAAGTTGAAATATTCCATTTTTGGTCCATCAGTTTCACAATTTAATCCACAGATATTGATAGATGAGGATTTTTTTTATCAAATGTTATGTTACCAAGAGGTCAAGGGTGGGGTTAGCACTTTTCACCATTTCTCAGATTTTGAAGCAAGTTGAAGTGATATTGCACATTTTTCTTAAATTGTTCGAAAATATTCAACCATTTGCGTAACATTTTATTTTAGAAATTCGAGAATTCTTGAGGCTATTTATAGCAGTTTATCCTCCTTTGTCCATTGGTTACAAGTCTGAGAACCGGTGAGATATTTGTTGAAACAGTGGCAATTTTGATATTTGATCAGTGTTTATGTACAGGCTCAGAGAAATAGAAAACAATAGAAGCATAATCAAAGTGGTGACTGTCTGAGATTACTCTGTTGTGTGCTATGCAATAATACTGTATAATAAGGTTTGTATGGAGTTGATACTTCAACAACTCCGGTGTAATTCTTAGTTTTTTCATTTTCATAAACATATATTCTAAATTTTCTCAATTTATTTTGCAATACATTTTTACGATTAATGAAAGGATTTTTGTTGTTTTTAGCTCACCTGGTCCGAAGGACTGGTGAGCTTATGCCTTGGTGCAGCGTTCGTGGTCGGTCCCTCAACTTTTCCTTTAAAACACTTCTTGTCCTGAAAATCCCAGTTGATTTTGACTAAATTTGGTCTGGAGCACCCTTAGGGCTAGGGCATTCAATTTTGTAAACTGTGGTTGTGGCCCTCCTGGGGGCAGAGGGGCCGGGCCCAATAAGGGAAATAGAGATAAAACCTTTAAAATCCTTCTTCTACGGTAGGGATAAAGGTATTTTATCCAAATTTAGTCAACCATTCTTAGACCAAGGGGACTAAATTTTGGTATAAACCGTGGATGTGGTCCCCCTGGGGGCAGAGGGGTAGGGCGGAACAGGGGAAATAGAGGTAAACTTATAAAATCTTTCTTCTACGATAGGGATTAAGGGATTGTATCCAAATTTTGTCTGGAGCATCTTAGGGCAAAAGGGACTCAATTTTGTATAAACGGTGGGTGTGGGCCCCCTCGGGGCAGAGTGGTGGGGCCCAATCGGGGATAGAGTTAATATCTTGAAATGCCTTCTACCGTAGGTATAAAAGCATTTTAACCTAATTTAGTCTGGTGCATCCTTTGGTCCAGGGGACTAAATTTTGTATAAATTGTGGGTGTGGCCCCCCTTGGGACAGAGGGGTGGGTCTGAATAGGGAAAATAGAAATAAAACCATTAAAATCCTCTCTTCTACCATAGAGATTAAGAGATTTCATCCCAATTTGGTCTTGAGCATCCGTGTGCCAAGGAGACTCAATTTTGTATAAACGATGAGTTTGGACCCGCAGAGGGGTGGTGTCGAATAGAAAATAGAGGTAAAACCATTGAAATTCTTCTCCCATAGGGGTAAAGAGATTTTATTCTAATTTGGTCTTGAGCATCCTTGGGCCAAGATGACTCAATTTTGTATAAATGGTAGGTGTTGCCCCTTTGCGTGCAGGTGGCGGGGCTCAAAAGGGGAATCTGAGGTTTAGATCTTTAAAATCGGTCTCATTTCTGTACCATTGGAGAGATTTTATACAAATTTGGTCTGGAGCATCCTTGGGCAAAGGTGACCAAATTTTGTATAAAAGGAGGGTTGTGGCCCCTCTGGCTCTGTGTGCAGAGTTACGGGGCCCAATAGGAGAATATGAGGTTTAAATCTTTAAAATCCTTCTTCTGAACCATTGGAGGGATTTTATGTAATAAGAATAATTTCCCTTGGTTGCTTTATTATCCCGATGAGCGATACAGGCCCTCTGGGCCTCTTGTTCCTCAATTTGGACCTACAACCATCAGAAAATGTTGGTTCCTTATAGTAATCTGCATTGGGCAACGTTGACGCTCACTTTCGTTCTCTGCACACCAATAATATGTCATGCCAAAGTTGAAAGCACGTGGTAAGCTATTTGAATGGTTTCAGATTAATCAAAATGACCAATCGATAGGCTGATATACTTAACATTTGAAGATTACAGAGGAAAGACACCCGGCTTGAAAGCGGTGTTATTTTACCGTTATGTAGCAACGCACTTCTTTTCCTGTACTCAAATGAATCAAGTTACAACTAGTGGTCTTGTATCACCCGGAGGCATGGTAGTCTAGTGGTAGGACGCCGGGCTCATGACTGAAGCGTTGCAGGTTCGGGTCACGACACGGCACTGTGTTGTATCTTTTAGCAAGATACTTTACTCCGCTTGTTCCAGTCTACTCAGCTGTTAATGCATGAGTTAGACGTGGTTGGGTAGTGCTAGAATTGTTGAATGCTAGCTGTGAGCGCCGAAATGGCAGCAACGGCTGTATGCTCTCTATAGGGAGTTGAGAAAGATATTGGCTGCTTGCAAAGGCCCAATACCAACGGATAACAATTTGTGAACCGCTTTGAGACGACCTACGAACTAGGTTGTGATTAATTATTATACGCAATGTGACGCACGTGACAAGAAACATAGCATCTGACTTCGTTTCGACTTCTATAGGTGCAGGCCAGAGATTCGACATTCTAGAGGTGCAGGCCAGAGATTCGACATTCTAGAGGTGCAGGCCAGAGATTCGACATTCTAGAGGTGCAGGCCAGAGATCGTAAACCCTCGAATTTTGAGGATGGTGTATTGCATTGGTTCACGTACGTCTGTCCAGATTGTTATATATACGTCTCCGGTCTGTCTAAACTTTCCGCAAATCTCTTCCCGCATGATAGCTCGAGGTCCGATTATATGATAACGTTTAAATTCAACATGTGTTGGACATCGGCATTGTTGAACGAAAACTACTATTGCTGTGTGGAAGTTAGTTAGGGAATATGAATTACGATTACTGTCCTAAGAATAAAAAAACCCACCGCATCGCCATCGTGACAGTATGTAAAAGAAATGCATTTAATATAAGTTTGTTAAAACCTTTCAAACTTTCCATGTATTACCAAAGTGATAATATATATATATTAATTTTCATTATTTTGTACTTTCAAATTATTTTGTAACAGCGTATGTCCAATGCGCTGTCATCTTTTTTGATACATGGACTTGTCAAACCTGTTTGTGCAGTCCACGTCTCGACCTGAGTATTTGTCTTGTCACGTGATTGTGTATTCGAACGCGTACATGTGACTTTTTACCGTCACTCCTGCACTTGACACTGACAATACGTACCCACCGTACATGTACTAGCATATATTTAGGACATATACCCTACTATATTTTGAAATTTACGTCGGTATATCGTGATTACACTGTCGCAAGCTGTCCAGATAAACGGATATTTTCGCCAGTATAATCACGATATACCGCCGCAAAATTTTAATACTAAATAATCAATTTCATGACGTGTCAGTCGTAGTCATTAAAGTCATTAACAATTTGTTCATGGAACATCTGGAGCAAGAAGCAATAGCCACTGCCCCCATAGAATGCAAGCCTAGCTTATGGAAACGTTATGTTGACGACATACTTGAGATAATCAATAAGGGGTCACAGAAAGATTTGACCACACATATCAACACTATAGATGCCACTAACAACATCACATTTACATGTAATGAAGAAACCAACGGCACAATGCCCTTCCTAGACACCTTACTGGTAAAGAAAAAAAGACGGAACCATGAAGGTATTGGTCTATAGAAAAAAGACCCATACGGACCAATACCTGAACTTCAGATCTCACCATCCTTTACACCAGAAGTTAGGCGTCATACGCACATTGCTCAACAGATGTGATACAATAGTCACAGAACAACAGGACAAAACACAAGAGCAGAATCACATCGCTCGTGCAATGAGAACATGTGCATATCCGGAATGGGCGCTAAAACGGGTAAAAAACAGTGTCAAAGTAAGGAGAGGAACAAGAAAAGGCCATTCAAGGATAAGAACAAAACCAAAGGTCAAGTTGTTATCCCGTATATAAAGGGTATATCCGAAACCATCCAGAGGATATATCGCGGTCATGACATATAAACTGCCATGAAGCCCCACAAGACGCTTCGCAGTATCCTAGTACACCCTAAGGATAAAACATCCAAAGAATACGTCGCAGAATGCGTATACGAAAACGGATGCAAAAACTGCGACGCGCCGTATATTGGAGAGACTGGAAGGCGAGTTTGGGTCCGCCTTGGTGAACACCGGAAAGATACAGAAACCCAAGAAGGTAGGAACTTCACCAGATCAGAAAGAAAACAGTCGAGTCCCGGTTAAATAAATCGGCAATCACATACCATACCACACAGAAAAACCATGTGATTAAATGGGATAACTTCAAAGTTTTGGACAGAGAGAGCAATCTGTTCAAGCGGCAGATAAAGGAAGCCATCTGGATACGCCGCAGTGGGCCAATTCTAAATCGAGACGAGTGGGCTCAAAGACTCTCGCACATCTATGACCAAGAGTAGCTGAATTGAGTCATTTCGGTACATATATAACAATTATTGTTCATCGTTTCGTGCGTAGCCAAAATCGACATCGATTTTATGGACAACACGTACACATTTTACACATTTGTGTGCATACGCTTCACTGGTCATTTGTCTGATGAAGGTGACAGTGTACATATCGTACTAGTCATCGAAACGTCACATAGAAAATGTTATTGGTTGTGTAAAAAGAATTTCTCATAATTAACTATCGCCATCCGGGCTTCATATGCAGATGAGAAAATGGCGGACGGTATATCTTGGTTATGCTATTAAGAAGGCTCCACCCTTTCGCAATTAACCAGTAGAATTCGTTGAAACTTTCACATAATGGTTATGCAACTATGAGGTGATTTTATGAAAATCTAAGCATTCAGATAGATTGGGGATTTGTTTTGGGAAAATACCCCAAAAGTTTAATTTTAGTCAATTTTATTATATTTTCTTTTTTTTTTGGTGCGTGGCATTGTTCGGAAAAATAACAACAATAAAACAATTGATTATTTCATTAATGATAAGTTATAGAATGAAGACCAGGACATTGACATAAAAGGCATGCTAACGACAGGAGACATAATAGCCGTGATTACTGACGATGTAACCAGTGGCTATTATCTGATTAAGGTACTTGCCACTTGTTTGAATTTATTTTTTTCAGTAATTCTCTCTTTTGTCGAGCAAATTATGCGCGTTTACCGTTTAAAGTAATAGCACAATCTTCCAATTTATTGGCAAACCCATCATCTTACATGCAGGCAGGGGGTTTTATGCACAAAGAATGACGATTTAAAAATAAATGTCTTTATGCAGGTAACAACTCCTACGCATATTTGTATAAGCTGACCAGATGTACGGAGGATGAATGGGGTAACTATTTTCAGCATGGATCGGAGGTAATATAGGGCCTCTATCTTGACCAGCTGTACGTTTTAAATTTGAGATACATGCTTCGGAGGGGCAACGAAGCTATTGTGTATGATGTGGCAGCTGTATATATTTTGACGGACAGCACGAAGGAAGAAGAGCATCTAGATAGTTAAGACTGTGTAAATGTGATGAGCAAA